TGAAGTCACCTGTTTTTCCATCGTACAAGACAATGACACGGTCTGCCCCGACACTTACGAGCCACTTCCCGTCAGGAGAGAACTTGACTGCCCGAGCGGCATTTGTGTGATGGTTCCGCGAGCTTTTGTCGAACTTGAAGGGGGGTCCTGTGAAAAAAACCATGGACTTGTCGTCGCCCACAGTGGCCGCCCTGTACGGTCTCTGGGGCTTGATGTCCACGGCATTGATTGTTTCCGAGTGGCCCTGGATCTCGCCGATTGAGTTGCCGGAATCCCACGTAAAGCAGTGGCCAAACTTCTCCTTGCCGCTGCCCACGGCAATGATGCGGGCGTTGTCCGCATCCCAGGCGATGGATCTGATGGGTCCACCCAACACGTCAAACTCGGACTTGATGACCGGCTGCTCGAATGGGTGTTCTTTGTTGTACACAGCCGAGTCCCACACGATCACGTGGCCCGACTCGTCGCCGGAGGCAATGTAGTTTCCCGAAGGACTGAACGCCGCAGCAGTAGCCGTGACGGTATGTTTTGTGAACTGCGTGGGTTTGAGTGATGCCGCGGCATCCAAGGACCGGACAATGACCGATTTCCCGGCGGCATATGCGATCCGGTTGTTCACGGCATCGTAGGAGAGGAGCGTCGAGGCGCCTCTCGTGGTTGCTGGCTGGGGCGGAAACACGTTTGTCTGCGCGATCATCTCAATGAGTTTTGTGACTGGGGGTTATGTTTGCTGATTGCCGGCGGCAGGGTGCTAAGGAATAAAAGTCTATGTGCCTCGTGTCTATGGAGGTCAATCAGCGCAGGAGAGATTGCCTTGTGCGGGCACCGGTGGCTGAGTGCGAGCCGCATGCCGTCGCAAGCGCCGGCGCCCGCGGGTGTGCATGCAGCGCATGCGGAGTGGCTGCTAAAAACAGAGATGGTGGAAAAAAGAAATACTCAGGCACAGCAGGTGGATCAAAAAATCATGGGCCTGGATGCCGTGGGCGTACCGCGCCCTTTTATAGTGGTGGCAAGATGTGGATTTCTTTTTTGGGATGCTGACAACGGGATGTGCATCCTCGTGGGCGAATCTGGCGCGGTGCAGGGCAGGATCTAGTATAAAGTACGGACCGCTGACAAGTATGATTGAGCTGGGTTTATCGAGTGTTGCAGGTGCTAATGCCGTTGTTTTGTTTACTTTTTGGGCCCATATCTTTGTTTTGTTTTGGGCGCCGAACATTTTGTCTTTGTTTTGTTTTTGGTTTTTGTATGTATCGCCACTTCAGTTCGATAGTTGGTAGGGACAATCCAGAGGCATAGGTACAAATAACAGCTTGGAGCGCAAAGAAAATGTGACTGCAGCTGTTGAATCACTATCGGATCTTGTCAATAAAATGTGTTTGAGAGTCCGCAAAGATCATCAACGGTGTGCTCTCTGCCACCATGATTAATTGGATATCAATACATCAGTCAGTGATCATGTTTTATTGGATCAATCGAGGATGAGTAATGACTTACCTGTTTTTGACTAGCTTATCAGATACAACGGATAACGACTAAATATTAGATTTGGCTGGTCATGATAAATTCGCGAATATCTTTGTATGACTTGAATGATTGTTATGATTACTGATGCGGGTTTATTGATCCGGATTGTTGAGATATGTGACCTGTAGTATGGTGATTGGGCAAGTAATTTTAGGCAAAGCACACCTTTGTCGTCGGCTAGATAAGGCATGAAAGACCATTTGTGTCTCTGTTTCTTTTTTAAGGGAAACTCTTTTTTTCTGTAAGTGATCTTGATCGATTCATACGTTACCATAAGCCTAGTCCCACCACGGTCCTTACCATAGTACTGTTCGTTCACATGTCTTCACCACTCCTAGATACTATGCCTAGTTAAGCCCGGAATACGCATAGCATGACTTGGAGAAGCAGTTCATGATAAGCGCAGGTGGGAGTGATGCAAGTCTTTTTGTTGAAAATGCTTTTTTTCATTACGGTAGTCTTGGGGTGCGGAGTGCTTGTGTTCCATGCTCCCGATTCACATTGAGAATGTATGACGTCACTGACATATGTTTTCCTGCTATGTATGCTCGCACAAGGTATCATTCTGATTGGGGTCGGTATTTATGTATGTCTTGAGGCATGTTACGTTCTCACGAATTGCATCTGACCGACTTGTGGCGCTTCATCAAGCAAGTAAATGAGATTTTGGAATATAAAGCAAATGATTGGAAATCTTATGAGATATTGTAGGAAACCAAGGTTCAAATGTTCTAGTGTATTCGAATCACCATTGCTGTTTATGCTTGAGTGCCCCCGCGGATGCTCTCACTGCGCACGCATTATATTTGGAGACGAATCCAACGCTTGCCGCCGGTGCTGACGCCCATGCGGTCAATCTGAATATTTGCCGTAAAACAACTCCTATGGAGTGGTATTTGAGACTTGGGCTGCAGGAGCCGGTTATTCAGTTTGAGAGTCTGGGCGAAGGTTTTGCTTGCATCTGTGGCCGTATTTGCCAGCACTCAGTGAGCGGGTATATGGCCTTGCAATCATCGGATATTCTGATAGCATTTGGACAGGCTTCAGGCCGTCCTCGGCATTTGGTGGGAGGGAGTCAGACTGAATAAGGTGAGATTTGCACATATCGTGCGGTATTTTTGTCTTGGGAATTTTCCATTTGACTCTGATGGTCACGTATCCTTGCGGTAATTTGACGTCGATCAGATGTCCTCCAGATATCTTTTAATATTCTGGGAAAAGTTTGAGTCGACCCTCAGATTTCTTCCAGATATCGGACGGATCTCGTTCCAATATCTGACACACCTTGTGCAAATACCCTGTGATGTGTCTGAGTCAACCTTTAGATCTCCCTCGGATATCCTTGATATTCTCAACCTTACTTCTCGCTGACCTTTAGGTTACCTCACAGGCATGTGAGGTCAGCCTTCCGCTGATTTTGGATTAGCTCCGGTCTTCCAAAGCTTATCTTTAGCTGGGCTCGAGCTAGTTCCATTATGGCTTATGTGTCCTAAGGACTCGGAAGCTTCAAGTATGGAGAAGTCCTTAGACCATCCATAACCTTCAGACAAGACCATGAATAAGATTCAGGCCCTCGATATACTTCAAGCATCCATACTTTCAGCACCCTTCAGAATACCGAGGCCATCGATTTCCTCAGACCATCAATACCTTCAGAAGAGGTCAATACCTCCAGAACATCCAGACCATGCAGACCATCTAGACCATCCAGACCGTCAATGACCTTCAATCACCCCAGAACATCCCGACCATCAATACCCTCCAAAACACATCAATACATCACAAACACATCAATATCGTTCAAAACACATCAATATCCTTCAAAACATCCAGACCATCAATACCTTTAGAACACATCAATACATCCAGAACATACCAATACTCTTCAGAACATCCAGAATATCAATACACCCAGACCATCAATATCTCCAAAACACATCAATACATCCAGAACATATCAATACTTTTCAGAACATCCAGATTATCAATACATCCAGACCATCAATACCCTCCAAAACACATCAATACATCCAGACCATCAATACCTCCAAAACACATCAATACATCCAGAACATATCAATACTTTTCAGAACATCCAGATTATCAATACACCCAGACCATCAATACCTCCAAAACACATCAATACATCCAGAACATATCAATACTCTTCAGAACATCCAGATTATCAATACATCCAGACCATCAATACCTTTAGAACACATCAATA